TACTACCTTTATTGATATACATCGATCAGCTGCAAGTTTCTTCTTAAGCGAATCGATAACAGCTGATACTTCCTTAGAAGCTGTAGCTCTCTCCTCCGGCTGAGATGTCTACAAGGAGACAGATAATCTGATTAAGCAGAATCTTACAATGTAACAATCAAACTCATTTTCGACAAAAAACCATGACAAAATCTGATTATGCCGAATCTTACAATCAAACGCATTTTCATTTACAAAGTGTTCAATGAGAGAAACGCAGCAAAATGGTTTTCTCATCAATGCTCTCGAACCCAAAAACAACTTCGTAGCTCACAATGCAACAATCTCTAGATCCAAGAACAAGCAAGTAGAAGCAAAAAGCAAGCCATTTAGATTTCGTTATCTTCAGTCAAACACAAGCACATAATAGTCAATGTCTCAAAAGCACAAAGAAAAGTTCGATTTCGACAAATTCAGAAGACCGATTGAGAGATTTATGCAGGAGTGAGAATGAGAGTGAGATAAACGCACCGTAGAGTCCTTGTGCGGCTCCGATCTGGTCGCCGAAGAAGAAGGCGAAGCTCCCGACGCCATTGCCAAGGAACCAGATCGGAACCGAGGGAAATGCGAGTCCGGGTCAAGATCCGGGTCGCGAATCGGAAATGTCGGAGGAGAGAAGGAATTTGGCGGGTCGTATAAACCCTAAAATTATCTTCAATTTTAGATTTTTTTTTTTTTTTTATCTTCTACAAATTAGAAATCCGATTGAAAAAAAAAAGAACATTATAACAGTTGTTAGGAATTGGGAAGCGTGAAATTATAAAACTTTCTAATTAAAAAGAAAAATAAAATACAGTTGGTGGGAAAATAGCAACGTGGCAGGTCGATTTGAATTATCTACTGTACATAGAGAGAAAAAGTGTTTCTCCGGTGAGAGTCTCCGGCGACGGCGCCGGAATCGAGGATTCTGATTGTTTTCTATATTTCCAAATGATTAAACGGGCGTTACTGGGCTCAGTTTTTATGGGCTCTTAAACCCTAATTTCTGGGCTTTTTTATTATTTTTTTCAGTCGAGACTGCTTTGCGAAATTCTCGTTTGGGTTTTCTTCTGTATCTCATCGGAAAGAGGAACAGTACGGCGATCGGAGATGCATTGCGGCGCGGTGGTTAACGGACGGAGACGCGGACTGATACTACGACTAGGCAGAAACTTCGCCGCGAGATCCTTTTGC